CCCCTTTTTCAGCAGGATCAATTGACAAGGCAGGATGGGGTCGGGCTAGACGGGGGTGGATTGTCGTGCGTGCCTCGTTAGCTGGATCAGGAGACAAGGAGGAAGAACGTGGAGCTCAACGCTGTCGAGGTTCGAGTCGGGAGAGAGCGAGTGTGCAAATTGTTCCGATTAGGTGATTAGGTAAGCGGGTGTCACGATATCGATCCTTATCGGCATGGCCCAACATGAGAGATCATCAACGCGACCAGTGGAGCTGACGGCGCAACGGCCCAGAATCAAGTCGACCTTGATCAAGTACTACTTGACCACAGGTTCTCCACTCTGAGGAGGAGATGTTCATGGAACGTCCATCACGCAACCGCAGTGCATGGCTCAAGACCCTCATCTGGTTGGTTGCCCACTTCACTGTAAGGTGGAAAGAGCCAGGCGAACACCATTCAAGTGGCATAACACCAGCCAGTAAGTAGCCAAGTGACTTCCATCATGATCGTCTGTATCGTGTTCTCTAGAGACCTAGGTATTATGCTCCAAATTATCCAAAACGCCGAGACCAAATTGGTCCTCCCCGCGCCGCCGCTCTGCCCGGTCCATCAGGCCTATGCTATCGCGAACCGCGCAAACTAAAGGCCTTGCCATGACCTAGTCTCCCACTGGTTTTCATCTCGATCCCATAATTTCAAGTCCTCTCTGGGAACCCTCCCCATGAAACCGATGCCTGTTCGCAACGACCAAAAAAAAAAAGTGAAAGTGGACATAAAACACCCAAACGCCACTTTGAGCAGCCTGCCAGCCCCATACGAACGGAGAGCGAGCGAGAGGACAGAGGCAAACACGCCATCAGACCTCCAACGTCGCAAGAGAGTGCGAAATAATACCTCAACCGTCAACACCTCGCTTAGTTGCGCCAAATCTAGCACCTCGGCCGCAAATCTACCTTGTCGCCAGAGATAGAGGGATGGAGAAAGTCCAATCAGTTGTTCACGGTTAGCTTGCTGTACTTGGAAACAAGCTCGTTCATCTTGGCCGTCAGGCCCGGTATCCTGAACGGTTTTGATATCACATCATCCTAGTGCACTTGTTAATACAAAGTCAAGAGTCAAGAGTGGGGAGTTGAGTCAAAACGTACAATGCCCGCAGCCTTTGCATCCTCGATCTGCTCAGGCCGAGCGTATGCCGTGACAGCAATAATGGGGATGTGGTCGATGAGCACGCCTTCTCGCTCCAGCTCACGGATCCGCCTGGCACACGTCATGCCGTCCATGACGGGCATTTCGAGGTCCATCAGGATGACGCTCAGATGGTAACCCTCGCTCTCCTTGCCTGTCCAGAAGCGGCACTTTTTCAAGGCGTCCAGAGCTTCACCGCCGTGGTTAGCCACATGCGTGACGTTGCCGCAATTCTTCAGCTGCCGTTGTAAGACCTTTTGGTTGACAATGTTGTCTTCGACGATGAGCACATCATGGCCTGTCTTAGAGGGTGTTGGGCCCGGCGGTTGCGAAGCGTCCGCTGCCGGACGGTGAGACGGACGGCGGATCATTCTTGTCGGCGGTGGAGGGGTCGTGGGCGTCGAGACCCTGCCTGGCCGGGCTACGCGATTCGCCGCCACGCTCGACTCCTCCGCGGGCATGGCTGCTTTGCGACACTTGATGAAGAATGAAAAGGTGCTACCGAGACCCTCTTTTGAAACCACACCAATCTGGCCGCCTTGCAGCTCGGTGAGCATGCGAGAGATGAAGAGCCCGAGCCCGGAGCCGCCATACTGCACATGTGTGCGTGGTGATGCTTGGGAGAACCTTTGGAACAGAATCTTCTTCTCCTCTTCCCGCAACCCGGGGCCTGTATCTTGGACAGAGAAGTGCAGGTTCATCTCGTCGCCATCGCCCCAGTCCTTGTCGCTAGTCAGGTTGCGAAGATCACTCCTGCGGCTGGGGAAGTACAACGAGTTTTCCTTAACCTCGGAAAGGTCTCGAGACGCCGTCAAGGTTATGGAAATGCGGCGCTCTTGGCGGTTTTGTGTGAATTTTATAGCATTAGTCATTAAGTTGATCAGTACTTGTCGTAGTCGTGAAGGGTCAAGCCTGACCCAATCAATGCCGTAGTCGGTGTAGGCGGACAGCGTACTGAACTGGAGCTCAATGTCGTGCGCCTGAACCTCGGCCTCAAACATTTTGAGGACGTTCTCGACGATATTGACAGGGTGCGCGTCGACCGGCGTAACGAGAAGAAGCTGCGAATCTAATTTGGAAAGTGTCAGGATGTCGTCGACGATGCGGTGCTGGTGACTGGCGCAGAGATTGATCGTGTTCGCAGCTTCAGTGCAGACATCGAGGAGCGTCTGTACGGGTTGAGCATCTGGATGCTCACGATAGCGGGCCGTCGTGTTTGCAATCTCATCAGCACATTGCAAGATGGCACTCAGAGGGTTGCGCATCTCGTGGCTCGTGATGTCAATGAAGTTCTCCTGTTGGCGCTTGAGCTCGACGGCTTCTTCTCTGCGCTGCATCTGGAAGGCCTCGGCCCACTTCTGCGACGAGATGTCCGTGATGCAGCCGAAAATGCTCTTGAGGTTGCCTTCTTCGTCTCGTTCGGGGAAGGCACTCATCAACACCCACGTGTCGATTGTGTTGTCGCCGTTTTGGCGGCTACACTTGAATCTGAATTCATGCGTAATGGCTACCTTGTCTGTGAGAAGCGCCTGCCACACCATTTCTACGCCGGCACGGTCCTCATCTCGAATGCTCTGCATCCAGGTGTCCGTACTGTCTTCTCCACGGGGGTGTCGTGAAATCTGCCACCACGTGTCGTTGGCGAAATTGAACTGGCCCGCGCGTTGGCGATGAACATGCCGACAGGGGCAAACTCGGCCATCCGCGTGAATTTGTACTCGCTCTCGACA